GTGTGTGTGTGTGTGTGTGTGTGTGTGTGTGTGTGTGTGTGTGTGTGTGTGTGTGTGTGTGTAAAAATTATATTAATTTAATTCCATTCCACTAATTAATAATTAAAAAGGAACAACAGATCTTGAGACTCTGAGACCCTTCCCATTCAGAGGCAAAAGCCAACAGTGGAATTTGCGTCCATGACAGTCCAGATGAGCACGACGTCCACAATTTCCAAAAACACTTCGTAATGTGGACTCGTCAGACTACAAAAGGCTTATCCACTTGACATCAGTCCATCTTAGATGAGCTCAGGCTCAGAGGCCGGTGGCATTTCTGGGTGTTGTTGATCAGTGACTTTTGCTTCGCATAGAAGAGTTTTAAGTTGCATGCACGGATGTTATGCCAAACTTTGATCACTAACAGTGGATTTTTGAAGGGTCCCTGAGGCCATGTGGTGGTATCTTTGAAACATTGATGTTGGTGTTTGATGCTTTGCCAACTGAGGGATCAAAGGTTATGGCCATTCAATGTTGGTTTTCGGCCTTGCAGTGATTTCTCCAGATTCTCTGAACCTCTTGGTGGTCTTATGTAAAGTAGATGATGAAATCCCTAAATTCATCGCACTTAAACGTTGAGGAACATTGACATTAAACTGTTCGGCTATTTTCTCACCCAGAGGTGAACTTTAACTTTGCCTGTGAATGACTGAGCAATTCAGGGAAGCTCCTTTTATACCCAATCATGGCACTCACCTGTTCCCCATTAGCCTGTTCACGTGTGGGATGTTCCAAACAGGTGTTTGGCAGTCTTTTTTGCCACTTGTCCAAGCTTTTGTTGGAACATGTTGCAGCAGCGAAATTCTAAGTTCATCATTATTTGCTAAAAACAAGAGTTTTTCACTTTCAAAATTAAATACGTTGTCTTTTGTCATATCTTAAATTAGATATAGGTCGGACATGATTTGCCAGTCATTGTATTCTGTTTTGATAAATGTTTAACGCACCGCCCCAATTTAATTGGAATTGGATTTGTACAACCCCCTCAATATAAGTCAGGCATTTATGTGGCAGGGTGCGCATGATTGAATGTGAAGGGAGCTTTCCATTACAGGACATCTGACTCATACATTAATTTGGTCTATCTTCACTGTCACCTATCACGCTGTATTGTCACTCCGCTTATTCATCACACGACAGTGAAGGAGCATTCTCCTGTGCATATGAACACGTTTGGCAATAGCAAATGTTTATTTCATTGCATCCCAAGTCACTTAGTTCCCCCGCCTTGAGCTCAAATCATCCACCATGCAATTGCTTTTTTGTCATGTTATTATTGTGACCTCTATTTTCCATGTACACCCCGCCTCCCAGTACACACACACACACACACACACACACACACACACGCACACGCACACACACACCCCTCTTTCAGTGGATAATTTACTTTCAACGCTTGATATAAGAATTTGTCCCATCAAAGAGCACTTTCCCTTTTTATACAATATAAATGCAGTTAGTTTCTGTCTTTCTTGTCAAGGGCAGGCATGATGGAGGCATGAAGGTGTCTGTAATATTTTGGTTACCTTTATTTAACATTAACATGAAGCTGTTTCAATGACGTACACTGGTGGTTGTTGCTTGTTGGGTCAGCTGATTTGTCATCACCATGACACATGCTCACGTTTCTGCAAAGCAGAGTGGCCCAAACTTACTCCACAGTGATGTGAAATACTGATTACCAATTATCACTGACGCTTGGTTTCAGTTATTAAGGGTGGCACAACCCATTAGTAGGTTTAGGGGGCAATTACTTTTACACGTCGGGACAGATAGTTATTATTATTATTTTTTTTTTTGTACCTTAATAAGTTAAATTTGCATTTATAAACTGCAATTTTTTATTCCCTTGGCTTGTCTGTGATATTGAAATTGGTTTGATGAACTAAAACTTTGTGTGATAAATATGCAAAGAACACAGAAATTAGGAAGGGAGCAAATACTTATTCACGGCACTGTATCATTCATTAGTATAATGAATGCATTTGTCAGACTAGACTTGTACCTGTAATTTTTTTCAGTGTAGATAATTTTTTGATGGTGTCTTTGAAGGTGCATACATATGTTCGGTATGACCATGACAGGTTTTTGAAGCACGTACAAATAGCCTGGGCCTTGACGACTGCAATTTTTATCTCCGTTTGTCCTATTTCTGACCTAATTGAGTTTGGAGGCTCAGCAATTTCGGGGTTGTTAGTCGTACTAGCTGTGTTTCTTTCTCTGCCCCTTGGTGTAATTGAACAGAAGTAATTAGTCAGAGCCACCGTTTTGCTCACTCTGTTCAGATGACTGCCACCGCAAAAAGTAGTCACATGACGCACAGTGTTGTCGAGCATTTCTTCATTCTTTTCTCCTTGCACCAGGGCCAATTGGCGCAGTGAGCAACATCGTTTGGCCATCGTGGAAGTCTAAACTCGCACTGTTTCATCTGCGTAAGGGTAGTGGGGTTTTTTTTCTTCCCTTCTTTTGATCCTCTTCCTGTATTGCCTCTCATTACATGGCGCACTGGTGTTGTGTCCGTGCATGCAGTGAGTGTCTCTTGCTGCTTCGCACACTATTTGCCAGTAACCAGGACATACAGTCTATTCTCCCTCTTCCTGGCCTCCTCTTTATTGTTAGCCTCAACACTAGTGATTCTTCCACAACATGGAAACGTACTGCGTCGTCCGCGCCTTTCAAGGCAGTCTCGTCGGGAAAGATTCATGCTCAATTGAGATGGTGGCCAAGGTTTAATTGTGACCTGTGAATCATCTGACTGCTTTTATCCTCTTATATACATTAGAAAGAGGCGTGGATGATGTGTCCATAGGTGTTACTATTTTCACCTCAGTCTACAGCCGACTTCCACCCTCTCCCTATCAGTACCTTTTTTCATTGACGCCCTCCCTCCACCCACCCGCCTCCGCGCTGTCTTTTAGGCACAGTATGTATGCCTCTGCTTTTCTCTATCAGCTTTTTCCACGGTCGATCTTTTGCCATCTTCCCCGCTGATTCCTTCCCTTCTCTTGTCCGCTTTCCCCACCCCCGATTCCCCCCCGTCTTCCTATCTCATCACGTCACCTTCCACACGTCACCTCATCCGCGCTCCTTTCCACTCCGCTGCGAAATCTCATTAGGTGGCGGCGCCTGTTCAAGTCAACTCTGAAGCTCTCCAAAGCTTTAATATAATGCATACAGGAGCGTCGATGATCGGGAAAGAACAGTGGCTTAGGTGAATGTTCAAAAGAAGAGAAAAAAAAATCCAGATGGCTTTCTCTTTGAGCGGTCCGCATCCTCCCGATAGACAAGTGCCAAGTATGTTATAGGGGTGTTGTTATCACCTGTGTCCCTGCCACTGCACCTGTGGTGGAGGGCGGGGGGAGAGGTTTATTTTTATCACAAATGTGTGTGGATAAGGAGCAGAACGGTGGAAGCAGTCCTTCCTCAGAAAGGTAATGTAAGGGATAGGTGAAGCAGAAAGAAAATACAGGCTGTACCACAAAATAGCATATTTCACTTTATTGCTCAAGGAATCTGCTCGACATCCTAAAGCAGAAAGAAGCAATAATTGTTTTTCTGTTATGATGACTTTGGCTCGTGACGTTATAGTATGTTTTCAGTCGCACAAATGGCTTGTTGAAATATTTTGTTAGTGAATAGTTGAATCTTTAGAAAAAAAAATTTCCCCCAAGAACGCTGTCATAAGTGTGGTGTCGAGTCACAGTTTTCATTGTGTGACATGTTTGTTCAGTAAAACTTTTCAAGAAATCAGTTTTTTTCAAGTGGGGTGGAAATGAAAGGTCATATATCGATAGAGAGCAAGAGATACATAGATAGACATATAGAAGCAGCCCACACAAGCACATAGAAAACGCAACGTCTGCAGAGGAAGGTCAGAGTTGAGATTTGAAGCCTGACCCTGATGATCACGAGTCCAACATGCCGCCGCTTGACTTAAAGTGCACTTTTACGGGAAGAGACCATTCTGCATCACAAAGTCTTTTGATATCAGACTTTTTCGGTTTCGGTGAGCTCTCGACATTTGAATATTTTGAAGACAAAAGACCAACCGATACTGTTCATTTGCGGCACCTTTGGCATCACATGAATTTGTTCATCATTCAGTGCAACTTCCCATATGGTATTTTCAAATTGAGATTTATTTCCATCCATCTCCGACATAAACACGGACACACACGATATTGTCATAGTCTGCAAAAGACTGTCTCCGCATAACCTCAGATCATCTATTACTACACAGGGAAACGTGACTGGACTCGCTTTTTACGACTTAGTCGGTGATGTTTTGGTTGACAACAGAGGCTCGGTTAACTCTGAAACAGCTACAAACTGGCAATAATGTTTCATTATATACATACATATGTGCACTGTATGAGCTACAAACCAATTTTTATTGTCGACAAGTCATTCTTGAGTATCTTTTTTTTTTTTTTTGTAAGCACTGAAACACCAACTTGTAGTGTCTGCCATAATGGCACGGTAAAGTGAAGGTCTCTGCGCGGCGCGTCTTATTTGTTAATTGTGGACTTTATATTTGGAGCGGTCATTGGGAGAATCCTAGCCTCCTGACCCGTCATAACAGTCGCTGCAAACCCTCCCACTCCTTCCGTCATTACCAAGCCTGTTGACCTTTTCCGCGCACGCAGCTATACAATGGAGATATCGACCGCTTGATTCATTTAGCGGGGATTATGGCTGTGCCTCACTCACCTCTCCAGGCCGTCTTTCTCTTGATGATGTATTGACATGAATTCATGGCACAGGGGCTGCAACGTGATGTTTGGCACGTATGTTTTTGCCATGGACATAGAATTCATAGCAGGTGAATTTGCAAACGTGACAAATTAGCCATTCTACATTTTAATGTATTTTTAAAAACATTTTTATAAATGTTCCACCTCCCATGCACTTCCTTAAGAGAACATTGGCGGTGAGGTCAGCCCCTGTCTGAGTCAATCTTTCTCCTGATTGATGGCGGACTCCAGCGCCCCTGTATGATTTTCCACATAATTGGAAGAGAAGAATAAGGGCTGATTGCTTCTGGTGGCCTATTTGCAGCGTCTGATTGAGGCCGAGTTATGGTTCACGCCCTTCAGCTACAGATGAGGACATGCATAGACACAACACTTGTACAGTGTGACAACAGGAGGCGAAGCGGCTGCTGCCGCACGCAAACTGACCCCTGCCTTTTCTTTTCAGACTGCCCCTGCTCGAGGAGTGGCGCGGTATCCGCGACGATGCGCTGTCCGAGCTCAGCGGCATCGAGGGATGCATTTTCGTCCACGCCGCCGGATTTATTGGTGGGAACAAGACGCGGGAAGGGGCCCTGGAGATGGCGCGCAGGACCCTCCAGGCCGCTGCAAACGCACCTGCCAATGGCGACTGCTGACCAGTACACCTATTTAAAAAAACTTATTTTTTTGGGGGGGGCCAGGATGTCACTGTCACTAATTGTCATTTTGTTATTCGAGAGATGGTTTCCAACTGACCGCATTAGGTACACCTGCACAATCAAATACGACAGTAAGCTTCCTTTCAATGTGGTCATACTCAGTTTTGTTTGGGGACCATCCGAGGTGTTTCTAGCAATGTAATACATGTCTCCACTGCAAACCACAAACACACCAATGAAACTAGAATAGCACTTTGTGGATGATAGACCTCCGCTAATGCCCAAAAGTGTTGATTTGAATCGAAGCAAAATTGCAACCTCTTGTTTACACGCTCGAGAGACGTGAAATAATTAGTCAAATAAATATTCACAACTGATGGAACAAAATTTGCATCGGCATCCAAATTTCTTGTGAAATTATGACAGGATATTAGAAAAATAATAATAAAAAATCATATAAAATGGACCCTCATGTTTGTCGGGTATAGAGACCGAATAGCAAAGATATGTTTATAATTGATGCCCTTTGTAAGTGAGTTGTATTTTTATTTTATGCTACTCCCCCACACCTCAGGAATGGCCCTAATACCTGGAGCCACATTGAAATAGTTTGACCCATTTACCTTCGCTCCACAATTTTGGTTAATCGAGAAAGTAAGAAAAAAAGAGAACCTCCTTGGCAGAGGTAAATATTAAGTTGCAAAACGGCAATATCTTTTTAACAGCAGTTTGTGGCCAAGGGGGGTTGGGATACAGCCCTTGCACTGGTTCTATTTGATTGTGTCTCTGAACCTAACGAACTCCTTTGCCATTCATTTCCAATAAAAGTGACCTATTAATACTTTGTAATCTCTCGTCCTTGTTCAGCAAGGCAAGGTGTTACTTTGCCAAGTCGAATCATATTATCGCTGTGGGCCATCCATCAAGGTGGGCCATCAAAGCCACCAGGGAATTGCCACAAATTCTACTTTCAAGTCCAATTCATGCAGACCAAGGGGACGGTGGCTCTTTTCAGTGACTGAACACTACAAAGAGGCGCGCAGGCTATTTCTGCCAGGCTGCACCATCAAAGTGTGTAACGCGAGTCTTGATTAATTCAGAGAAATGAAATTTTCAAAGGCTAAGAAGAAGTGATCCTCATGGCGGCTCAGTGGGCTAACATGCTGAATTTCTGTCTGATATTCTTACCAATTCATTGCGTTGTACGCCAACCTATCCCTCCCATCGTATTGCGTTAGCCCAGGGCTATCCAAATTAAGGTCCGGGGGTAGGGGGTGATTTGCAGCCCGCAAGTCCGTCTTTTACAGCTGGAAGCATATACTCAAAATAGCATTTCACAAAGCATGTTTGGCAATCGCTGTCCTCCATTGGTGCAATACCCATCTCCTACAAACAAATAACAAAATACTTAAGAACTTGTGGCCCTTGCACCCTTTATATTTTCTGTATGAGACACCGAGGAACAATGCAGACACCCCTGTTTCGTCACTTCTTGTTTCATCAGTGGAGGGAAAAAAATCCATTTGTCATGACTTGCTGCTCTCACTCATTGTTACTCACTGGGGCGGACTGTTTCTTTGTCTGGTCACTTTGCATTTCACGCGTTTTTTTTTTTTTTGTGTCCTTTCTGGTGTTATTACATGGATCCATCATGCTGTCGTATTGTAATTCACAGCAATTACTGTGCTGTTGTAGCATGGGGAGTAATCACTGAGTCGGATTAGGAGGAATGGAGACTTGGACGGGACATTGGTTCGGCACATTGATCGTTTTTCTTTGACTCTCATGTTTTTCATATTGTGAGAAGCCAAAACCCAAATCACGATTAAATTTCGATTTATTCCCCATCCCTCGTTAATGGCATTTCCGTTCATGTCGATGTGGGAAGATTATTTATTTATTTTCATTACTGGTATTTTTTTTTTTTAGGGGTTATGGCAGGGGGGGGGGGGGCCCAACGGGTTTTTTT